TGGTTTTCATTGTACCATGCACCAGTAGGAAGCAGGATCAGTACTTATATTTTCTTTTGACTCAATTGGATATAAGTCATTCTTAAAAACAGATCTGAAGGTCTAAGTATGGTGCATCACATCTTTTTCTTACATTATAACTAAAACATATGATGTATTTAATTAATATTTTTATGAGGCAAACCTTTACAAATTGGGTCATAATTCAAGACTAAAACATAATAAATGGTTTTAAAAAAAAGTTTTTACTAATAGAAATCCATGTGGCACACTTCCTCTTCTGTAAAAGCCTTTTAAAAAAGACACTGGGTGCAATGAGTTGCCTTGGGAAATCCTCTTCTAGATCTGTAGGGCTAAAAAAATACACTGTAGAGACAGAGCAATACAATGGCTGGTCGATATTTCCATTTTTTTCATACATCCGTATCGTTAAAATACATGCATGCATTTATTATGCCTTAAGATCAAGTTAAGCATACCCATTGCTACTCCCCAATTTATTATACATTGTTAATATTTTTTTTAATTGTTAAACAAATGTTTTTTTGTTTTTTTTTTTTGTTTTTTTAAATTGGGACTTGTGAAACATTTGTTACTATTGTGACATTTTGAGTACTTATATGCAGGAAAACAGAGGAAAATCGGCTTCGGGAAAAAGAAAAAGTTCAACTTCAACAAAAAATCAGCACAGCATGTCAGGGATCAGTTGAGGCCAGAACACACCGAATCAGATTTTGCGTCCGATTCGACAGAAAATCATGTCAGACAAGGTTGTGGCGTTTAGCACTCGTTAAACGACAATTGGGATGATCACACCCCCGACACGATTTTATACCAAGGGGCTTCCGTAGGTCCGATTGAGATAGACCCCAGGTCTATTTTAGCCTGACTACGCAGCAATTCAGCTGCTATTTCATGGTTCTGATAGGAAGAGAGATGCAGGTAAAACACATCCACTTTCAGGGAAATATAAAATAAAATCTGTTAATCGCACATGGAAGAAGTTAGTTCTGGAGTCACACAATGCTTATATAAAGCAGGCGGAACAGATTTATGCAAAAGCAATAAATGAAATATTAAAAAAGGATTAAATTAGACCCTATGCTCCCCAAAGAGATGGGTTAAATGCAGAGAGTTAATTCTCACAATAAAAGCCAGAAAAAAAAAAAAAGAATACTTTACCCATGATAGGAGTTCATGGGGACAGAATACAGGTATGGTAGTGATCCTCTTTGAGCCTTGTAAAAATAACAAGGGACAGAATCCATAGTTTATCACTCTCCTGGGAAAAAAAATAACTCCAAGAGGAGAAAAAAAATTGGATATAGTGAAATAGTGATCCTCTTTTAGCCTCACAAAAACTCAAAGTAACAAGGGGCAAACAGAGCAGGTAAGCATGTTGTATCTCTCACGTCTTTATGAAAGAAAAACTTTGATAAACTTCCCAGATCTCTATCTGAGAATCACCTCACTGCCTGGGTCAGCATATAAGCCGTCCCACCAAGTTTGTCGCTTTTTATCTTCTTTAGATTTAGAAATCATGTTTTCAATATGAGCATTTGACTGTGATGGACTGGCGACCTGTCCATGGTGGACCCCGCCTCTCGCGTGTAGACAGCTGGAGATAGCAACTGGTGTATTGAGGCCTTTAGACAAAATGATAGCATCAGCCTTAAAGTAACAGTATCACAAGTATACTGTTATCACAGTATAAGAAAGTGCAGAATAGCATTGGAAGGGATTGATTTAAAAAGATTAAGAAAACAGGAATATTAAATTGTGTAGACAAAAACAATGTATATGCATAAGTGGGCCTGTTGCAGCTGAAGTACATAATTTGCTCGTGTAAATAAGATATTACAACAGGTTTGGTTCCGATGCTCCGACGGAAAAGGAGCCACAGTCAGATTTACAGCAAGATTATGCTCTGAACAGCTCCCTATCCAGTACCTCCACCAGCTCCTCACAACACATTACATTGTCCATTATATTGAAATGACTTAAGAGAGAAACAAAAATCACTTTTACCACAAGTTGGGGAGGCAGACCTTCCCCCAGCCACCATAATCCACGTAGAGAACCAGTGATGAATGTTCTGTAAATGATTAACTGTTAATTAAAAATGTTTTTTTTTTATAGAAATGACAAAATACTTAAAGTCAAGCTATATTGTTTTTCATTTTGCTTTTACTGCATAAAGACTGTCTGCAGTCCCAATGCATCAATTTTTGCCAACCTGAAAAGACATCTTTCTCTCTATTTCTCATTCTGACAGTCCACATGTGTTTGTATGCCCACAGTTTCTCTCTCCACCGTCTTTCATACCAGTCTCTCCTTTTTGGCCACAATGTCTGCAGAAAAATCTGCGTATGAGTTTACGTCTGATTTTCAAATGCAAAAAATAAACAAACAACTGATGCATAAACTGGGCCCATATTCACTTTCAGGCTGTATATATTGCTCTACAGAGCTATTATAACTGTATATCCACCACACATCTATTTAAGCAGTTTGGTTATTAATATGCAATTTTGAATATTCCTGAAGGAACTGGTGCAAATGAAGTTTGCAGCTACTGCAAATTGCCCTACACTTTTCATAAAGATATGATTTGTGAGAACAAACAAGTTTGCAAAAATGTAAATACTGTGTGATGTGACACCATCCTGGGGAGAAATATCAGCTGTGCTTCTGCCATGAACTCCTTTGTTAGATGTTGGAGATTGGCCTGTTTTTCAGTGTAGTCCTGTTTCTCTGACTGTGACTGGCTGGCTGTGCTCTCTTCCTCCTCTGACATCCTCTTCATCCTTCTTGGATTACTGCCCTCTTACATTTGTACCTTACTTACACAGAAAAGCATGGCTTCTCATGCCCTGAGATCCAACGATCAGCTGTTGCTTACTGTTCCCGCACAGAACTAGGGAAAAAAGCCTTTAGCTACGCCTTTAGCTAGAAACTGGAAGTTGGTTGAGTTTTTATATTGAAATGCTTTTAAGTTGAAAGTGAAAGAATTTGAAGCAGCCTTGATGATCTGTAAATGTTTTACTTAATATGTTTTTTTTATGTATCTGTCATGTATTTTAATTTATCTATGTTTCTTATGTAAATTTGTAGCCTCTTGGCCAGGACTCCCTTGCAAAAGAGGTTTTTAATCTCAATGGGATTTTTTTCCCTGGTTAAATAAAGGTTAAATAAATAAAATGGGAGCTGGCTCGGAGCTTGTCTGCCTGGCTGTGTGTTTCCTGGCCTAATACATTGGCCTTTTATATCTCTACTTCTTTCTGTATCTCTGCTTCTATCTCCTTGAACCCCAGTTTGCTTCAGCAGATGGCCGCTCACACTGAGCCTGGTTCTGCTGGAGGTTTCTTCCTGTTAAAAGGGAGTTTTTCCTCTCCACTGTCGCTACAAGCATGCTTAGTGTGAGGGATTGCCTTTGAGTCAATGAGTCGATGCAATCAACTGGTTTTCCTTAGAGGGAAACTGAATCAATTTGACTGTATGATCTGGTAAACTTCAAAGTAACTTGAGATGACGTGTTGTGATTTGGTGCTATATAAATAAACTGCATTGAAAACTGAATTGAAATACACGCAAACCCTTTGAAGATAAGGCCAAAGGTGTATTCAACACCCTGGAAGGAAAGCTGCAGATCTGAACACTGGACACTCACCAAAATGTATTGGTAGCAAAAATGAGAAACTGAGGTGAGAAAAAAATTCTGTTTAATTACAGCTGAATCTGGATATTTAGTTATCACCTTCTCCCTACAGGACTTTTTAAATATCGCGTCTTATCCAGCTGTGCTATAATATTTGTGACTTTAGGGCAGTGCAGATATTTTTTTTTTATTGAACCGTGACAGGCAAGCTGATCATTAGGAAAATTTTGAAAAGCATGGCACAACTCAAGACCTACCATAAAATATTCATCTAAACTGATGCATCAAAGTTTCACATATCAGGAAGGGGAAACCATTTACAGATCAACTATTAATTGTGCATTCCAGAAATCTGGCCTTTATTGACCAGAGGAGAAAAGAAAACCAGTGTTCCCAGAAAGGGATAAGAAGTGAGGAAAAATCTGGCAAAACTTGTTTTGTTAAGATGAGAAAATGCTTTGCTTTTTGGGAAAAAGTTAAGACTGCATACAAAAAAAATCACTAGCAAAAAAGACAACATTAAAAAGTTCACTTGTTATTGCAAAACCACCAGAAACATGGCAGTAGCAGCTTTTCTTTCACAGGTGCAGAAAGGTCAGTTATAGAAGACTGGTAAAGGATATAACTACATCTGTGAGCAAGATTGGAATAAATATGGGGCAGGCCTGAAGAAAAAAATGCTTAAAATTATGTTAAGACTGGAGCAAAGGTTTACCTTAAGCAGCATAACTCAACATATAGCCATAGTTAGAATTGAACTGAATTCAAAGTAAAGACCTTAATCTGATTTAGAGTCTAAACCAAGATTAATCTTTCTCCATCAGATCTCACTGAGCTGTAGGTAGTTTGCAATGAGGGAAAATTCAGTTTTCAGATGTGCAAAAGGTAACAATGTACCCCACAATAATCAATTCCTTCAACTTTACTTCACAGTCATGTTTTGCCTCTAAAACTCTGTATTTTATCTGAAAAGTGCCGTGATAAATAAATGCATTCCCACAGCCATTAATGCACTCTATAACTGGGTTTGCAAAGTGACAGACATACTATGATGCCTCTTAAGAACCCTAAATGAAATATTTTATGGAAATTTGGCAGAAAGTAATGATTAAATATGAGTAATATCCATAACACTCCATCCCCAAAACACACAAAAACAGCTGAATTTCCACATCGAGAACAAAAGCTTGTATAATGCTGACATGATTGTGTAAAACAGCAGAACAGCTTGTTCCTTTTGTAACTCATTTCTCAATAAACAACAGGAGCATTAAAAATGTCTAGTAAGCTGTTCAAAAAGCAAGTTCCATGGGATGGAAATAATCAATTTTTACGCTCCTACCTTTCCTACATACTGTGCATCTGGTCCTATGTGTTCTTCTAAAACAAAGAATTGGTTCCAAATCCAGCCTCGCTTGGGTCTGTGGTGCACCTCTGTCTCCCCATTGGCCAGTTTGGTCTGGTTCTTGGAGGGCACTTTTGTAGGGATGTGGTGGCCTGCTCCAGAGCACCTCTGAATGAAACAGAGGCAAACCAAGAAGGGACAGAGGCAAGAGGTGGTGGGTATCCTCATGGTGGTGTTGAGCTTTCTAACTGTATCCCTTTATTCCAAGGCTGCAAGGTCCTCCCACCCCTGCCGAGCCAGCAGCCTCCAACAGCCACTGCTGCAGTGGTCCAGAAAAAATGATTTAAATCCAAACTAAGGAAATTAACTTCCAAGGGGATTCTCTAAGGTTCATGGTCCAAAGCCAGGAGTCCGAAAAAAAAGGCCAAGATTTATTTACATTATGGAATTTTCCAGATGCTGATCTGCTTTTCAAATGGATGCCAACTTCTGGGTAGTTATCCTAAGAGTAGACGTTATTCCAGGAAGCCATTCTGGTTATCCTAGAACAGAAAACAGAGGAAAGAGAGCTAAAGGTTAAATTCATACAAATGAGTTACTAAACGTCTTTTAATTATTAAAATTAAATTAAAACACATAAATCCTTGTAGATGACGATGGAGATGTCATATTGTAAGACTGTGATAATGCACAGAGGGAAGGAGAAATCCCGCTACATTTTCTCGGCCACTTATGCACATGACGGATATCATTTTTTTACTTTAAGATTAAAATTGCCTATAAAAAGGTTTTCTTTACCTACATTGTCAGATGGCTGCTTGGTGATGTGTCTTAAAGCCTGACTTGAATTATTAAAAATAACTTGATGAGGATTTGATTTGGATGTTTGAACATAGCTGATCTGACTTATGTTCATGGGTAGTTTGAGGTACATGTTAAAACCATTAACCTAATTTTAAAGGATTTCACATGATAGAAAAGCCCAAAAAAGTCAATACTATTTGTTTCTTCTTTTTCATTAAAACAAAACAAAAAATGAGTCATATTTTGCACATATTTTAAATCAATCTGATTTAAAACTATGTAGCCCCTTTCTGCACTGTAAATAGCCCTTTTTGTGGTAATTCTGCACCAGCTTTTAACAAATTAAGACTGAAATCTTTGGCCATTATCTTTCAAAATATCACAGCTCCAGATTAGATTCTATTTTGCCAAAAATTGTTAAGTTTTGTTAAGATGTTTTACCTTTTCTGACACATAAAAATGCCATGACATAAACACCTGTTATGTAGCGCTAGATATATGTTTATAGTCATTGTCTGGTCCAGTCTTAAGACTATATCAGCTTCTAACAGTTTTTTTTTCACCATCTCCTTTACTCTATTACTCTGACAAGCTTATCAGTTCCTGTTGAAGAAAGCATCCCCACAGGAGGATGCTGCCAACAACACGCTTTGCAGTTGGGAGGATGTTTTCAGGATTGACGGTCCTGGGTATCCTGGGTATGAGGAATTACATCTCCTCTAGAGTTATAATCAATAATTAACTTGCAATTTTTCTCTTTCTGAATTAATAACAAAAAAAGATAAGTTACAATAAATATGCAGATAATAGAGGGTTTTAAATTACAAAGTCAAACCATTTAAGCATTGAAATCTGTATGTGGTGTTGGACCTACTTGGCTTTTTACCATCCGAAGCACATTTCCAGGACTTAAAGCTACAGTGTGTAATTTTTAGTGACATCTAACGTCCAGACTGCAGACCGCAGCAACATGAACATCTCC